CTTGGTTTGCCTCTTCTGCCGCTCACCTCTATTATATCTGGTTTCCTTGCGTCCGAAGAAATACCAAACCTGATCACTCGACGCCATCCTCGACCGCTCTGAGGAGAAAATAAACAAAACCCGAAATAAACGATAAGAATGGCTAGGAGTTAATTAGAATAATAGTTAGTTAGCCAATGATAGAGACGAACGTACGAGGTAATTCCCAAGGATCGAAGTTACAGATATTGACTGTGCTAATGACTTGGTCGATATGTGTCGCAGTGGCACCACCTTGATTTTTCAGACGGAGATAATAGTCGACGATCTCTTCGTCCGTCGGAAGAAACCTGAGCCCTACTGGGTTCTCCATTTTGCGGGATACGAGATACGAGAGAGAAAAATAGAAATCGCTTTCAATCGTAGGACAATTATGAAAAATGAAGGTCAAGGCTTATGTTATTTATAGGACAGCTGGATGGTCCGGTCCCACTTTCCAAGAAGACAAAAAAACAAAGAGATCGCGGGATTATAAAAAAATGATTTTTGAAAACGTATAGTTTTGTACGCTAACTAGAACAAGAACAGTCACACAAACAATGGTCCCACACTCGATGTTATTTTCGCGGAACTACAGAAACTCAATAAACAATTACAGATTTAACGTTGACCTTCTATTCGGTTCAGACCACCTTGGAACGATGTCAAAATCAACCATCCCAAATATATAGGGTTGGGTTATTGACGTCATTAGCAGAGTCATCAGAAGAAAATGCATTTCTTTTGTTTTTTTCTTAGTAATCACGTTTAGTCGTGCTTATCTTCTTGACTGTCCATAGTTTGAATACGTGAGGAATCTTTGAGAAAATAAATACTCTAAGTGTTTAAAATAGTAGAAAATATCTCCAAAACGTGAGAAATTACCAAAAAATGGAATCCATTCATTCATCATAGTTCACACATAGTTGCTATTGTTTGTTTATTTTTCTAAATTTGCCCTTTAATGGGTGGACAAACATCTCTATCATTGAATAGTGTACTTTGCTTGATTTGTACATCAAAATGATAAATAGTAGAATTAATCCAATGGTCAAAACAACAAAAACATTTTACTCTTATAATGACATCCTTTTTAGTTACTTTTATATTTTTTTATGTTAATATGCTAATTAACTCACTTTTCAAAATGGCAAAAAAAAACAAACTTACGAGCTTGCTCACACAGACACACACTATCAAGTTAGCTGCTGAACCAAGCAACGTCAAGTTTCCAGCCACCATGCTCACCCACGCCAGCAACAACGACACCTTCTTCTCCTTCTCCCCTGCCTCGCTGATGCCTCTACTCTTCCTCCCAACAAGCGCACCGCACACAATTTGACAGCTAAATAAATTTCTAGCTAGAGATAATAAACGCACGAAAACATAATTGCTTTTAAAGGATATACAATGGCTCACCGGTCGCTACATTGGAGAGGACAAGAATCACAAGTGCTAGAGCCGCGATAATTGCAGTCAAAAACATGTTTAAACCCATAAGGAGAGACATGGAGAGATATAAGCATGCCTAGTGTGATTGGATAAACACTTGATTTACAGAAAATTTTTCTTCTCCATCTCTTGATTTGGAACACATTTACATGTTCGTTTCATCATCGCTGATTTCAGCGGCGGTGCTCAAAAAAGTACAGGATCCAACTCTAGACGCATTTGAATAGCTCTGTTTCGGAGTGTCTCAACTCTCAGGATCCATCCTAAAGTTTGATTCTTCTGATCTGAAAGAGCTGAGATGCGGTAATGTAGTTCGATCGGGAGACACTTTAATTAGTTCAACCTATCCAGGTTTAAGTCATTGTTCAATCAACAGATTTAGCTCGGTTGCGAGAGTATTCACGTGAAGAATTATTGCTCAAGTATTTGTTTATATATGCACTGTAAAAACATAAAAATCTAAAAGAGGTAGTAAACTTAAAGTTAGCATTAGTCCATAGGGATTTGGACTTAGACCAACATGACAGCATGTGCCTGGTACACATGTAATGTGGACTTAGGGCAATATTATCGGTGGTCCTTAAGCTCAATTCTTTAGCGGGAAAGTCCTTTAATTTTTAACTAAAAATACTAAAGGATATCCGTAAATACTTTAAATAAGAGGTTTTACGGATGTCTCTTAGTGTTTTTAGTTAAAAGTTAAGGGACTTTCCCGCTAAGGGATTCAGCTTACGAACCACCTATAATGTTGCCCTTAGGGACTCTTTAAAAATAGCTAATATAAGTACTTTTATTTAATACTATTAATCTTGTAATTTTCTGTGGGTTTGGGGAGGACATGACGAGTTGAGATTGATTGCAACGACAAAAAGAGTTTTGACATTTTTTTTTCTTCTTGTATTGAATTGATACAACTTTGTATTCTCTAACCAAATCTTACCACAAACATTCCTTTTCTTTCATGTATCTTAGGACACACGTAACGAGACAAGATAGACATAGCTTATACAAAGATGGAAACTACAAAAACCTATCCTGTAATACAGAAACCACTCACATCTTCTTGATCAAGGGACATAGTAAAATCATGTTACCAGAATCAACTAATCATCACTACTATATATGACCAATAAAGACACCGGTCACTGAATTTTCCATAGAAGCAGTCTTAATCTGTTCATCAGCATCATCATCATATAGCAAGCTATTCAAATCATAGTTTAACAGAACGTCGAAATCCATCTCAGATTCAGCTTCAAACTGAATTTGTTGCTGATTACCGAGAACACCACTAAGCTGACTTGAATTCTGTAATCCCTAAAAAAAATAGGGAAGTAGAAGAAGAACGCAAATGAGTTGGCTATGAAATATGGTTATGAAGATGTGAAAGAGAGACTGAACCACCTCAGATCCTCCAGGATTGTTCATAGGAGTGGGTAAAGAGTGACTATGGTCGACACCGGAAGAAGAAGAGATCTCACTTGCTTCACCCTTAAACTGCACTTTGCAGATAGTATATGTCCCACTCTGGAAAACCAATTCAGCATAATCGATTGATTACTACTTACACAAAAAATGAAAGCAGAGCAATAACAAAAAAAAAAAAAAAGGATTGTATTTGTACCTGATGAGGAGAGACGCAAGAAGCGTGATACTCGTGCATAACCCAGTTGGATTTGGATCCGTTCTTGTAAAACACCAAAACACTCTTCTCACCAATCTTTTCGCGGTTACCTCTCTTTCGCTTGATAGACAAGGTAACACCGGTTTTCTTCCAAAAACCGGACTTGGTTTGCCTCTTCTGTCGCTCACCTCTCTTGTATTTGCTTTCCTTGCGTCCGAAGAAATACCAAACCTGATTGCTAGACTCGATCCTCGATTGCGCTGTTAAATAACAAAATCCGGAAAGAAAAAAACGATAGGAATCAGAATTTAGTGAGCCGATCGATGATTTTAAACTTGATAGAGACAGTGGGAAAGAGAAGTACGAGGTAATTCCCAAGGATCAAAGTTACAGATATTGACTGTGCTAATGACTTGATCGACATGGCTCGTGATAATGGAACCACCGAGATTTTTCAGACGGAGATAATGGTCTACCATCTCCTCGTCTGTCGGAAGAAACCTGATCCCCACTAGATTCATCATTTTTGCTTGCGCGACAAATCTTTTCCGATATATATATATTTTTTTAAAAAAGAACAAACTGAGTAAGAGAGGGAGCTATATCAATCGTGGGAGATCGAAAAGAAGGTCAAGCTATATTTATAGGACAACCAGGCAGCAAGGCATCAACCATGAAGCCATGACGTGTGACCAATTCTTGCGGGACAATATTAAAATTTCAAGAAGGAAAAAAGAAAGGACTAAAGGAAAGGAAGACAGTCGTAACGTACAGTAGTAGTTATTGTATATAATATAGTATTTTTATCTGGGACTCTAGAACATTCAGCCAAACTCAACACAAATAGAAGATGCGAATGGTCTCACTCTTTGCCGAAAAATAATTGCGCCGAAATACCACAAGTTCAATAAATATTTAACATTAACAAACTATCAAATAGATTTAACGTTTACGTGTTGACAAAAACAAGATCAAGGAGATTTAAAGTTGACCTTTGATTAGGATCAAGTCACCCTGCTACGACCACGTTTGCTAGCTGCGTTATACTTCTTCGTACAGCTCACTTGCCAAAAAGATAAGTATATATTGGGTTTATAGACGTCGTTCGACCAACCAAAAAAGGAAAATTAAACACGTAGATGTTTTATATGAGCCACGTTGGCATTTGTAATCTGTTTTGTTCTTTTTGATTGTCCAGGAATCACCTTTAGAGAAACTTAGTAAATATTCTTAATGTCCAAAAATAAGTCAAAACTACAAATAAGTAATAAGTATACGATTCATCCAACACAAATCACATAATAGTTGCTATGACTTCTTGTTTCTTTTCTAAGTTGTAAATATTGAATTACAAAAGTGTGTACAGAGGATGAAAGGAACATAATGATTGGTTCTTGAGATGAATAAAGTTTTCATCACCAAGAGAGAAAAAAAGAAAGCATGTACAGTGTGAGTTATGGATTTACTTGATAAGAAAGAGACCAATAGCAGTAACAATAAGCGTTGAAGGTAAACCAAACTTGATGTGTTTAGTGAAAGTAAGAGTGTACCCATGGCTCACTGCTCTACGAGCTTGCTCACACACTATCAAGTTAGCTGCTGAACCAAGCAACGTCAAGTTTCCAGCCACCGTGCTCACCCACGCCAGCAACAACCATGCCTTCTTCTCCTCCTCCCCTGCCGCTGCTGATGCCGCTACTCTTGCTCCCAACAATAGCACTGCACACACAATTTAAACAGCTAAATGAATTTCTAGCTATAGAGATAATAAAAACACACAAAAACATATTTTCTCACACACCTGTTGGTACATTGGATGCCACATTGGAGAGGACAAGAATCACAACAGCTAGAACCGCTGTTCCTTTGGCTTCACCAATATTCGCATACGGCTCCATGAGATCCCACAGAGCCGTAGGGATACCAGTTTTATTAAACCCATCCACAGTTATAAACATCCCACAGAAGAAGATCAAAAGCGAATACGACACCTTCTCAAGAGAAGGCCTTGCGTCTTTAAAATCAAGAACAACGAGAGCTAAAGCCGCGGTGATTGCAGTCCAAGACATGTTCAAACCCATAAGCAGAGATACAAGCATCCCTAGAGTGATCAAATAAACACTTGATTTCCACAAAACTCTTCTCCATCTCTTGGTTTGAAACAACAACACATTGTCGTTGGTTGTATGATTGCTCTCTCCTTCTGACTCAGCGTCAGCTTGGTGGTCTCTATCCGCATGATTGCTCTCACCAGAGGAAGCAGCTCTGTTCCTGAGCGTCTCAGGATCCATCCTCGTATTACTTTCATCTGATCTGAAAGAGCTGAGATGCGGTAACGTAGCTGGAGAGAATCGATGAGATGTCACATCCTCTTCCTCAACAACTTCAGAGACAACATTTTCCTCTTCTTCGCCGTCTTTATGATCAGACAGTAACCGCCAATACATAGCTAAAAGCATCATAGCATTAACAGTAATCCCAACGATCATAGCAGGAAACACTCCAAGAAGAAACTCCCAAAACGAGATCTTACTCTGAACCGCGATAACAAGATTCTGCGGGTTCCCAATAGGAGTAGCCGAAGAACCAATATTAGCACTCGTAGCTAACGCAAGCAAAAAGGGATGAGGAGGGAGATTCTTCTGCCTAGCGATCTTCAAAACAAACTCAGTCAAAACAACGCAACACGTGTCATTAGTAAAAAGCGCACTCGAAACCGCGGAGACAAGACAGACGCGACAGAGCAAGTCTTTAGGTCCTCTGCTTTTCCAAGAAAGCAAAGTGCCTAAGTACTTGAACATGTCTGCTCTCTCGAGGTAGATGCTAACGACCATTGTTCCGAAGAGGAGGCCGAGGATAGGGAGGTCGATGGCGGAGTAAGCTTGGTCAGGAGTGATGACTTGGAAGATAACCATTAGCATGGCGCCGAAGAGTGAACCGGCGGTTCGACCGATTGGGAGGAAGGGGACAGATGGGAAGACTGCTAATATCCAGAAAATTGCAAAGGCTATTGAGCCTAGTACCAGTTTCACTACTGGTGCCATTGCCATTGGATCTAGAATTGTCTCTGTAATTGATTTTAAGAAAGTCAAATTTGATTTGGATAATCAAACGACTTCTTCCATGGTAATAGTAAGTAGAGAAGGTTTGGAGAGATATAGAAGAGAGGAGGAGAAAAGGGAGTCACCTTTATAGTTAAGCCATAAAGAAAGGCAGCGCTCTTTTTCTAATTTACTTTTTGAAACCCAAAAGCTTTTCCTCTCTTTCTTGTTGTTGGGTTCGCTGTTTCAGATCTTCTTCTTCACCACTTTTCAAGAAGTTAACAATGATTTGTCTCTTCTTTGCATTAACTAAGTGTTTTTTTTTTTTTTTAATTCAGTCCACCACATGATGACAACCAAATCGTCGTGTACTCGTGTTAACGAGTCAACTATCACGACACTGTAATTAGTTTGAATATTTAAAGGAACGTATCAACCCCCTAATAGTTTAAAGTTTATTTAAAGGAACGTATCAACTCCCTAATATAAAGTTCTTTTTCTAAAGAAAAATATTATTTATCTCAAGAACTATACAAACTTTACAGAGGTTTGTAAGCTTATTGGTGAAAATCTTAATCTCATTTGCTTCTTTACAGTTTTAAATTAAAGAAAAAAACAAAAGTGTTTTGTTTTCAATCTACAGCATCGTCGTGTTAACGAGTCAAGTATCACGATTACTGTATTTAGTTAAATATTTAAAGGAACGTATCAAACATTCAAACCCCTATATGAATTACTTTTTATAAAACAATTCACTTAGTGTTGATTAAATTAAAATAAAAAACAAACTCTTTTTATTTGTCTGAAAACAGAGTGATGCAATTACAAAAGTTCAAAAATGCATTATCTCAAGAACTTTATACAAACTTTAAAGAGGTTTGTAAAGCTTCTTGGTGTAAAAATTTCTCCTTGCTCCTTTTAAATTATACAAGAGCCATACTAATGACACAACATTTAACTAGAGTGCATTTTTGACCGGTGAGAACTGTACGGTCAGACAAGCGTGGTCGGAGAGACTGTAATTCTCAGGCCACAATCCTATCTCTGTTTCTTGCGGAAACAGAACAGCTTTCTTCACTTTCAGTCCAACCGCTTCTTCTTCTTCTTTCATACTCTCCATCACACTCTCTTTGCACTTTTCAGACTGATCCACAGTCCTCGTGTTCCAAGTTTTCTGACAATAAATATAACCACATACATCAGAGTCTTCAGTGCCGTTTTAAACGAACTAACATTTAACTGGTTTGTGGTTTTATTCGTTTTACCTTAAGTTGTTCATAGTCGAAGACACCATTTCCATCAAGATCAGCTCGAGCCCATAGCTCTTTTGTCTCTTGGAAGCTAAGTCCATGTGGTCTACCCATTAGATTTACCTTTCGAAGTGCTTGGCAGAAGCCAGAGTAAGTTAGTGAATCACTTTGCTTATTTCCCCAAAGAAAAGCAAAGGCCTTGCTGTCGTCAGCTATGGAAGCTTTCTGGAGTTGATACTGTAAACCCTCAAGAGACATCAGAATCCAAAAGTGATTAACATTCTTTGTTTCTGAAGATTTGCAATGACAAAGGGGGAAGGAATCAATCTCACTCACCTTGATAATGCTGAAAACAGCTTCCACCCAACTTGTTCTCAATGGTTTCCTTGAATTGCTACTAGGGTTACATAGCCAGATGAAATCAACTCCGCATATGTTTCCCCTGTGGTTTCTATGGCTTACCCACTGAAGAAATAAAGAAGGATGAACCAGGCTTTAGAAACAGTGAGAATGATGAACAAGTTCTTAAGAGATCTCTAACCTTATGAGCATCACTATCCGTGTACTGATGAGCAACATCGTATGATGATATGAACCCTTGAGATCTCAAGAACTTGTAGACATGCCCACGCTTGCTTCCATTCCAGTCACTGAAATTCAAACTCTCTGATCAGATTGTACTAGTGGAGGGACACAATTTCAAATACACACTTAAGAAAAGAAGCTCACCCGCAGAGAATAATGGGTATGTGAGTAAGTTTATTTTCCTTCTGGTAAGCTTCTAGATATTCGAGAATCTTGTAAACCTGTGCAAGAGATGCACATCTGATCAAATTTACAACCACAAGATCTACGGTCCCAACAAAAACAAAAAGCGAAACGAATGGCAAAACCTGATGCAATCTTGCAATAGATAAACTAGAATCATGTGGGAACAAGAGATGCGTGTTCACTATAAGAACTTCTTGTTGAACATTTTGTTTCTCATTGAGCGGAAAGGGAACAAGTGATCTGACATGTAAGAGCTGAGCAACACGGTCTCCAAAATCGTTAAAGAGAAGCTCCCGGTAATTTACAAGTTCAAAGTAGTCCTTATGGATTGCTGTTAAAAGACCTGTTTAGAAATAAATCCAACCTATAACAATTCAGGAATAACCAACCACTCCTAAAACTGTAATGAAAAAAGAGTTTAAACAACAATGATGAAAAATGGGAGAGAACCTTAATAACTTACCATCGCCACGACGGTTAGTTCTAGGCAAGTGGAAAATAGAGTAGCCAGCAGAGCCAAGGCGATCATTGTACATGTTCACCAATTCCTCATTCCCAACCCAAACCTCCTATCAACACTCACCAATTCTCTTTAAACAAAAGTCTCTCCCACTATACACAAGAGTCAAATGTTTGACTTTTTTTAAGACAATCTTATTATTACCTGGAGACAAATCACTGAGGACCGTTGGTGGAGTAGCAAATCTAATATCTTTTGGTTCCGAGTAAACCATAGCGCGCGAAAATGGCTCTCTCGAATGCTCTGATTCTGTTCACACAAAAGTCAAAACCAGTGAGAAAATTTTAGAAGATTCAAAAGAATCACAAGATAAAATCTGGAAAGGAAGGACACAAACCAGTTGATCAACGCGTTTGTAAATGGGAGCCAATATATTGAAAGTGGTACACGAAATACTCGTTGAAGAAGCTAAGCTCGAGTTCAGTCTCTACACACAATCACATCGGATCTCCCAACAAGTCAGATCAATAGAAAAAACTATCAATCAGACAAAACTTGAGTCGACGACTTACCATAACTGAAAGCGCCTCTGTTGTGTCTGCCGGAAAAAAAAATCGTCAAGGGATGATGAATGTGGACCGTTGATTGATGATGACCCTTCCCCTCCTTCTCTCTGATGCTTTTCTTTTCGAATTTACAAGCCGAGATGGATGGTTTCAGATTTATAATTTTTCTTTTCTTTTTTGTTGGCACGACTGATTTTTATCTAATTTATTTAAATTCATGCCTTCATATGAACCTTTTATTTTTATTTTTTAAATTAAATACGTTATTAATCTATACCACCACATAAAACACGCATTTTTGTAAGGTCCATGTATTTTCGTTCACAACTACAATTAAACTTTTCCATCTAATTTCATTCACGACTGACTTAGCAAATTCTTCAAAGATTTAATCATAATAGCAATCTCTTATATATTTGTGTCAATATTATTTAAAAATTTAGTTTCTTATGTGTCGCACTTATATTAATTCAATTATATTGTTAATCTTAATGAACAATCTACATATTTATTTACTAACTCATATCAATTAAATTTTAATTTAGGTTTTTTAAAAAAAATCTTAAATAACATATATATATATAATAAATAGGAACCTTTATATAATTTTAAAATCAATTTAATATGTAAATATTTTTAATATATAATGTGATTTTATTTTATTTTATTTTTAACTGAAAAGGCTCGCAAACTAATCTTGATATATTTTAAAAAACCTTACTTAGAAAACAGTATTGTAGGCAATAATTTGTTATATATTTTCAAAATAATAAAAAATATATTCTTTATATTAATGCATATTTTTAGACGATTACAAAAATAATTTTAGTTGACTAAAATATTTAGAATTATCATTATTAAGATGATTTATTCATTTTCCATATCAGTTGTTATGAAAGAAATTATTGATACATTCTTTACATGTTTAGCTGACTACAATTATAAAATAAAATCTACAGAATTTTGAAAATAATTTACTTATTTAACATGATTCTTTTCAAAAAAAATCTTAGTAAATTGATATTCATTTTCAAAGTGTTAAATACTATTTAAAAGCAAATGTTTTAAAGAAGATAGTACATATTCGAAAATAAAACTAAAGTACTTATTTATTATAAACCTATTTTAATTAAATAATTACAAAACATTGATTCGCATAACTCTAAATATCTTTAATAACCTAAAATATTATACTTTACCATACCAAAATATGTATTTTTGCTTAAAATTTACTTTTTTATTCAATTTATTTTTATATGTTAAATCAAATATATACATAATAAAAATACACAAAGAAATTTAGTTCTTATGTTTAATATTATTTAAAATTAATTTCAATATTTTATTATAGTATTCATTTATGTAATTTTAAATCAATCAACTTTAGCCAGTTTTCTATTTAACTTTTGATATATATATATATATACTAATTATACATAATTTTACCATCTAAAATAACAATCTATACAATGATTAAGAGAAGTAAATTTAATATAATACACCAAAAAATAATTAAACTTATTAGATATTATATATTTGAAATCATATGTGATTAAAATAACATAATTAATTTAGAATTAACTATATATAAACTATAAAATTATTTAAATTTGAAATAAAATATTAATTAATTCTTATAATATATTATTTCATAAATAATTCTACGTTAAAAATGGTGTCATCCGTGATTGAAAGACACAATGAATTTATAAAATTCTGACTTGGCTTTGCTGCATTTGGGGTGGCTGTCGCCGTGTTAAAGCCTTTGTTGCACCTAATGACATTCAAGTGGTAGGAAATTTTTAGTCCGAGTTTATACAAGAGTCCGTTGAATATATCAAGTGGATCATTACTCAAAGTTTTATTTTCTTCCTACAAAGAATTTACGAGAGGGGAACAAAGACAATATGGTATCTACAAATATATTAGAAAAAAATTGGTATCTATTTTAACATATTTTTCGTAAACAAATCTTAAAAATTGATATATCTTTTAAAAGTGTTAAATAATAAATACTTTTCCAGTATAAAACTAATTTGATCATATAATTACAAAATACTTTTAACTAGCATAATTCTAAATACTTTTAATAAAACAAACGTACTTTACCATGTCGAAAACCTCTTTGTTTTTGCTTAATATTTACTATGGTTTTAATTTTATTTATCTTTATATTTTAAATCCAATATATACATTAATTCACAAATAAATCTCATTCTTATGTTTGATATTATTTAAAATCAATTTCTATATAATATTGTTATTTTCATTTATATACTAACTAAACTGGCTAGATATTTTATATGCTCAATCGATTCAGTTTAAGTGTTATTGTAGAAAAACAAATTGTTACAAAATAAGTATCGTTTGAAGACTTCAAACCAATTTATGTCATTAATTTATATCCTTACCCATATATTTATTTAAAAAAATAAAAATCAATGGATGTCTAATAGTTAAATAAAGATAAAACTGAACTTTTAATCCTATTTTAGTTAGTATAAAAAAATTCTAGAATGATATCTAATTCGAAACGAAAGGAGAATAAGTTATAAATTATTTAAAACTGAAACGACAATTATTTTTTGTCAACATGTTTGTAGAGGAGTAAGATATTTAATGATTTTGAGAGAAATGAATCATGCTTCTTGTTTCATGTCGGTGACCGTGGCACGGTTCCTACCAAAGCAACTTTTTTTGTTTTATTTTAACGTTTTTATTCAAGACACTAAACTGCCATTGGTCAAGTTGCTTAATCACGTCGTATAAAATTAAAGTATTCTTTCCTTTTGTCAACTCATAAATAAATATTAACGTTGGGTTCGAAGAATGATTACTTTTCTTTCTATAATCGTTGTTTCTGTCACACACACGAATTATTGTCGTTGAAATATCGTTGGTTAAGGCCATGACGAATCATAGTGCAAAACCCCCATTAAGCAATTAAATTTCATTCGGCTATAGCCCAGCACTCCTATTGAAGAGCCGGTCTTGACAAGTATGCTGTTTGGTTTAGTCGGGAGACAGAGGAAGAAGACAACAAATAACTCGACAATTTAAAGCAACCAGCATACTGAGCTTTTTTAAATCATTCGAACAAATGTCAAGATATCACAACAGCAACATAAAGCCGGAAACAAGAAAAAACAAAAACTCTTCTCTCACAATAAACATAGAACTCTTAAAGTGGCTTTCCACTTATCTTGATGTCATTTCTGATTGCTCCTTGGATCGTCTTAACGACAAAGTACTACAAAATGTAACGAAAAGTTTGTTTAGCAAAAGTTGGAAAAGACAGTAAAATCGAATTGGTGTCTCTAAGAGTGGATGATGTGTGTTCTGTTTTTACCTGAGCGGCGATGATAAGAGGGATGAGTTTCTTTCCTTTATCATCAGAGTAAGATCCATCTACCATCTTCTTGTCCACATGAATCGCTTTCTTCTGATTTGTTGCAACATCCGTTATCGCCTTAACCAAGTTCGGTATCCACGCTTCACCGTTCGGTAATGCCTAAACAGAGAGAAAGAGAGCACATAAGCGAAGTTTTCAACACTCTCCAAATCAGTTCAAGTCAGAGATTCAACAAACAAACCTTTTCTTCCTTGTCATTCTTGCTGCATCTTCCACTGTTCTCCGCATACACAACCTCAATTGCAGAATCCTACAAGCAAGTACAAGAATGAAGAATCATAACTGACTCTTTCCCAAACATGGTAATAGTATTCTAAAGTTATATACCTCAAACTGTTGTTTTCCCATCTTGGAACCAGCGCGGATAGTTTTGAGGAGAGAATCTGATCTCTTGAAGGAAAAAGTTTCATAGGAAAGGTCATCAGGTGGGGAGAATTGAGCATGAGTCAAAACAAGTAAGGTTTTGCACCAAATCTCTTTTCCAAAAGTTTGGGTGATTGCTTGAACAACTTGCTTATCTAGCTCATCCACTCTATACACATCCAGACGATCAACATATAGCAACACATCTATGGTCCTGTTCACAAGAAACCTGCCACCAAAATCCAACATAATAAACCTCACTGAGCAAAAAAAAGTTAAGCAAATTCACAAGTTTAGCATAAACACATAAACAAACAATTTAACCACATATTTACTTCTTACTTAACTCAATTAATCAGAAAAGAAGGACATAGACTCTCATATGCAACATGCAGATATAATCACATAAATGTAGAGCTTGTGAGACAATAAAAACTTAACCAAGCCGATAATGACAAACACACAATGAAATTCTCATATGAGAGGCTTCAAAAGAATACTACTGACTAACCCTTTGATTAACTCGAGGGCTTGATGATTGACATAACCAGCTTCCACAAGCCCAGGGGTGTCAATAATGTTTATAGTGAAGCCTCCCATTGTTCTTGAGACTATCACTGGCCTCAAACTTTCCGCCTGAAAATTTGAAAAATGAATACACTTTGTTAATCCCAGCTTTAAAAAATGCAGTTTAATGTAAGGCTTTAGGGAAAGTAAATACATACCTGGAAAGGACTGACACGGACGACTTGTTCACCAATAAGAGAGTTGACAGTGGATGATTTTCCGACACCGCCTTTGCCCATTACAACAATTGTCAAAGAGTTCATATCCTGCAAAATTACACAAAGTACCCTTATCTCAAAAGAGTGCAAAGAAACAACAAAACAAATTAGAATAAATTAAAGAAAAAAAACCTTTTGCTTCAGTTTGGCGAAGAATTCAATTAACTTTTCCTGAGTAGCCGCTGGAAATTGCTGAAACCCAACCCATTCACGAACAATGGACCCCATCACTCTCCAAAACCCTTCTTATTCCGAACCTGAAAATTTAAATGAATCTTAAGTTACAGTATATTCTTTTGTGAATAGAGCTAAAGCTTAGAGATAACGGTATAGATTAAACATTGAAAGAAATAACCTTTCAAAAAAAAACTCGAAGGAACGTACCTTTGTGTGTGAGGTTTAAGAGAAGAAGCTCTTCTCTACCGTTCTGGAGAGGAAAACAAAGAACCTTATCGTTACTCTGTTTTTATTAATTTTATTTCATACTTATTTCACTTTGCTCCCTTTTTTCTTCAATATTGCTTTTACTGCCGCATAATTTTAGAAATAATACAATGGACCCCATCACTCCAAAACCAAAACAAAAGATCATTTCCTAATATGGACCTCTGGTGGTCAAAATTCTTTTTAATGTTGACCTCCTGGTAGGAATTCTTTTTCACTAAAGACTAGAACCAACCTTATAAGTTTTGTATATCATCTAGCATTTTATTCATGGTTATGAGATTTATTAGTGTGTACTCGAAAACATGTTAACGTTAATATTGCTGGGTTATGTATTGTTTAGACTTATTTCATTCATGTGTTCCTTTAGAATGCTAATTCCTATATACCCATAGACAAAGAATCCAATTATAAACAATGAGTGTAAAAGAAATGATATCTTTGTACTTTAGTAACCTTTCTATTTATTAGAATAATTTTTCTCCTTGAATCTTAAGAAGTCAAAATGAGTGCCATCACCATTTTTATCATTTTCTATACCTTAGATACCATAAAAATCTCAAATCATTTCCATGTGTATATCTATCTCTTTTGTTTAACAATCAATAGCTAAGATGAAGCTATCTTAGGCGAACTGTTACTGTACATATTCATGTACTTGTCTAGGACTCGCATTATGTTTCATCACTAGTTTTCTTAAGGTTCGACACAATGAGCTCTGCTTTGCCAATCACAATTTTTTATTCACTAAACAAATACCATTTTCAGCATTGCCACAAAACAAAAATATTCGAAAGAGAAACTTCAAACGAATGTTAACCTCATGCTTGTGGGCAATGACTGAACCATCTGAAAGTAATAAAACAAACTCGACATGGAAAGACTTGATTCAAGAATCCAAAACATTGCGAAAACCCTTCAAAAACTGTCTGGAAATGATTCGTCTTTGTAACCCAATGTCACAACTGAGATAACCGATAAGCAAAAGTAAAACAAACCCACTAAATCCAATTCCCCACAATAGTAAAGAAACAAAGTTCCCACTCCAACACATAAGACCATAATGTAAACAACTAAACACAACTTCCACTATGTCCTTATATCCTCCCTTTGATGTCGACTAACTCGAAGAGGATGTTTTGATCCGAGCAAGAATTGCGTTTTTTTTTTATGATCACGGACGTGACTAACAATGCAATTCAACTGATAATGGAGAGAGAAGACCCCCAACAATTACCAAAACATTGGTCAAGATCTTTGTTAATAAAGTTGACGAGACAATGTCATCGTAGCCGACTGTGCACATAGTGACACCATAGCTATAACAAGTCCACCATTAGATTGACCTTGTTCCTGATATTTGTTTTGGAAGTGACATGTATATTGCAATTTTGACTTAAGAAAACTCTGTTTTAATTTATATAAATATATTACAACAAATTGATATAGCAGCAAAAATACAACACAAAAGCATGAAAGAGATAAGATGGTTGAAACTAGAACAAATCGATCATAACTCTTGAATCTTGAGGATCTTCGTGAAGTAGTGAGATCTTGATCGTGTCGAGTGATGTTGGTCTTAGAGCTTCATGTGGCGTGTAAGTGGGAGAAGATGACGATGACGATGATGTTGTGAGAAGCATGGAGGAGGAGGAAGAAAAAGGGAACTCGGGGTTCATAGGATGGAGGATCTGTGTGAGCAGAAGCAAAATTGACGCCATTAGAAGAAGCTTTATCTGTGTGTACTTTAGGGCTTTTGAGTATATAATTTAAGAGCATGTTTATCCCACTTTATTAAAAGTGGGGTGCTTAAATTTTTTTTTTTTTTTTTTTGCTTTTTTTTTCGGACTTAAAAAAAAAAAAAAAAAAAATTAAAAAGCAACCAATCGCGGGCCGCCACGTGTCGTGGAGCCCGCTTAACAGACCAAAAACCAGCCAAAACTCGGCGCTTATAGGAGAGTCACAAGCGCTGGATTTCCCCCTTTTTGGTGGTCCCCCCCCTCAAAAAATCCCCTAAGCGCTTGGGATAAACCTGCTCTTAGAATAATTTCCCAAGTGATTCTGGTCTGTTATATATAGAGAGAAACAGTGGGAGCCCCTTGTAATAAATCTTAACGACCGTAGTTTTGTGTGTTTGAGATCTAACGGACGAGATTAACCACTGGAACTCATAAACTTTGGGTAGCAAATGGTTTTTTGGGCTTGACTTTTAGCTCCCATTAATATCTCGCCCACAAAAACTAGCTTTTCCACTTGGCATGGCTCTATTTCCTTAAGAGGATTTATAAAATAAAGTATTGCTTTTGATTAATAGTTTTATATATGCTTGCGCATGTTACACTAATTTAGATTAAGTTTTAAAAATAATTAAGTTTTTAGCTGAATTTTCTATGCCTATTAGAGAGCAGATCATATAGCATTCTAGCAAAATAGAAGCACGTTAAATCACATCAAGAATTTCTTGACCAACAAATATAACTTATATATGTGTGATAACAATATAGCATTTAGATACAAAGAAAAACAAGAATATAAGAAATAAAAAATAGTGGTTGGAAAATAGTTTAGAAGGTTTCTGATAATTTTAGTTTAAGCTTAACATCGATGAATGAATACAGCGGGAAAGCGTTCACCCAATAAATATTGTAGTAGGTATTGGTTGCGCAATCAAAACCAGATCTCATTAAATTCCTCCATGTGTCTTGACTCTGAGTCAAATGGCAATGCATATGCAATACGTTGACCTTTACTTGTTCTATGTACAATTATTCGTTTAATCAAAGGGCCTCTGCTTTTCACAGTCCACATTAGGCCCGGTTGCTACATGTAATAACAGCCCAGCAGATCTCTTATAAGACCCAGACAGATATTAAACGACATCAATCTTTGTCTTCAAAACTACTCGCCGCTCTAAGATAATTTAAGGAGGTATGGGGATGTATCTTGGACTTCCTGAACAGATTTGTGGTTCGAAAACCAAAGTTTTTTCCTATGTTCAAGACCGGCTGAATGGACGAGTGAATAATTGGTCTTCGAGACTACTATCCAAAGGGGGCAAAGAGATCCAGATTAAAGCGGTGGCCCAAGCAATTCCGACATATCCAATGTCATGTTATTTGATTCCGCAAGGCATTATTGATAAACTACGAAGCACGAATTCAAATTTTTGGTGGAGCTCAAAACAAAACAGCAGAGGTTTGCATTGGATATCATGGGACGAAATCTGTACCCCTAAGGATTTAGGGGGACTAGGATTTCGTGATCTCCATGATTTCAACTTAGCACTTCTTACGAAACAATTATGGCGGTTGATACACTACCCGAACTCATTATTGGCACGTGTCCTAAAGGGGAGGTACTATTACAACACCTCCCCTTTAGAAGACCGACGTATATACTCACCTTCATATGGCTGGCGTAGTATTATGGCGGCAAAACCCTTACTACTTTCGGGACTACGAAAGAGGATTGGAACGGGTCGAGATACGAGGGTATGGAGTGAGCACTGGATCCCTGACTCAGTAGCCCGACCACCTAGACCCGCCGATCATATTGTCTACAGACTCCCCAGCCTCCCGGTTCAAGCCCTTATTAGGAATGATACCAAGGAGTGGGATACACAGCTTTTAAGAGAATATTTCCAACCAGACGATATACCTCTGATACTTGGGCTAAAACCCTCATGTTCATCTGTTCCGGATGGATATGTTTGGGACCACACAAAGACAGGAGTCTACTCAGTTAAAACCGGCTATGACCTACTTCAATCGAACAAAACAAGGCCTACACAAGAATTGGTTCTTCAACCAAGCATCACAGGACTCCAGAGCCATGTGTGGAAGATAGAGGCTCCAAGCAAAATGAAGCACTTCTTGTGGCAAGCTATCTCAGGCTGTGTGGCGACAGCAGAGAGACTCACCTACAGACACCTGGGCACCGATAGGAGTTGTCCTAGATGTGTTGACCCAGTGGAGTCAATTAACCACCTCATCTTTGAGTGTCCCCCTGCCCTGCAGGTTTGGGCTTTATCGGACTATCCGTCCATTCCGGGTGTCTTCCCGAGTACATCTATTTACCAAAATATAGACTTCCTTTTTTGGAAAAGAAAAGAGGTGGCTCCACGGAGACCACAATTCGACACCTTCCCATGGATCTGTTGGTACATCTGGAAGGCGAGGAACGACAAACTCTTTAATGGAAAAGTCGTATCCCCAATGGATACTCTCCAACATGCGTCTCTTGAGGCTGAATGCTGGAGAAAAGCGAACATGAGAGAGGGAACCAATGAGGCTCTTGAGGTACCTCTCTCTTTGGAGATTGAGACAGAACTCTCTGGGAACCCCCGAACCCCGACATGCCAAATTGATGCATCATGGATCGATCATTGCAGCGTTAGTGGCTTAGGGTGGATTCTTAAAGATCAGATGGGTTATGAATGGGTCGGACAACGGGCGTGCAGGAGAAGCCGTTCAGCTCTGCATGCAGAGATGGAAGGTCTACTCTGGGCAGTTTCATGCTTGAGAGACTTGCGGATCAACTCGGTGAGGATTGAGACTGACTGCGCGGACCTAGTAGACATGTTTACTAATCCGGAAGAATGGCCAACTTTTATAACAGAGATCGAGAGGCTTAGGAGACTACAAGAGGACTTTGAGGATATGAGGCTTTCCCATATTCCTCGAAGTAGGAATGTTCGAGCAGATGGATTAGCTAAAGAGGCGAGAAGGAAAGGATCTATTTTTTCCCATATAGATCAGACCAGATCAGACGGAGATGCTCTTAGGAGGATCGACTCGTCCGATCACCACTTGATCTAGCTTTAGATGGGCGGTTGACAAAAAAAAAAAAAAAAACGACATAAAGTGTTGTCCTTAAACTCTGGTATACACCATCACCATCATTTCTTTCTCCAAACCAAATCGAGACAACTTCTGATGATTTATCTATCGGAGAAGGGGTAAAGCGGACTTGGTTATGAAGCATTTGGTAGCAGCGGTTTCTGATCTGGCAGAGAAGAAAGACGAGTGGAGCTGGAGCTCAGAGCTAGTCAGCTTATTTTATCTTCCCTTTGAAAAAGCTAAAGATGTTGATGGAGCAGAAGAGCTTTGCAGAATCTTGTCGGTCTAGAGACCTCTGACTCTGAAACTGTGAGCTCTTTTATAAAGACATATATGCAGCATTGCAGCAGCAGAGAAAACTTTTTCAGACATGCTTGAGAGATTGTTCCGACAGCAGATAGAAGTAAGCGAGGAGATCCAAGACTTCTTCTTTGTTTTTTTGACAAAAAGAAGATCCAAGACATGCTTCAAGCGGTTTGTCCATAAACTAATCTGAAGTAAATTTAGACTTACATCTAGTTTATGAGTTTAAGATCTTGGTTTTAAAAAGTTAAGCTTTTAACAAGTTTGTAGGTTACATAGGAAATGATCTCAAAATTCCTTGAATTAACCTGCACTATTTGTTAATAATTGATATTTGAACATTGTGTGTTTAGCTTGTGCCTCAAGGTTTAATGTTTCAGTTCAGAGAACTTGGCTCAAGAATTCAGGTCTGAAATTTGTATTTACAATGTTTACTTTCGAATGTCAACCAATAAATTGTTTATTTATCCAAATCCAATAACCGACTACTGACCAAAAAAAAAGATAATATACCCCATGACTCATGTTAATCGCTGAACATCAACCCCATGACCCATGTTATAGTTAGTGCCACCAACAAAGTCAGGGAAAATATATTTTAAATGTATTATCATACAATTTAAACAAAGAAGCCTTTTATTTATGCACCACGAGAGATAACTAGAAAAACAGAAAGTGATTAGAAGGGAACGTCACAGTGTTGAATCTGTTGATATTTACAATTTTTAGTAAATAAATAATTTTTTTGTTCTAAACTGCATCTTAGTTGATAAATAACAGAGTCAGACATAATCCAAATGTGATTGGTAAAAAACAAAAGAAATGAAACAAATTAAAAAAAAACCGCGTACAAGCTGGCACGTTCTGTATCTGGTCGCTATCTTCTGCTTATCAATTCGTTCGGCGACATAAACAAATCCAAAACGAAACAACAAAACATTCTTTAGTGTTTTTGTGTCTTTATATAAACAGAAAAAGAAAAGGGATATCTTTGAGAAATTTAGGACGCAATCAATTCAAAATTCAGCCACAAGAGCCCTAATTTGAGGTTGGTACTCTGTTTTCTTTCCCCAGTATGTATGTATACTTGAGAATATTGGTTTCCTCTGCATTGTCTCTGAGCCATTGTTCTCGAATTGCATGTGTTGTATGTTGTCATGTGTCTCCTTGTTCGTTTTGGGGAAATCAAATATGGCAAGTTCATTTCTAGTAATAGAATGATTGTTCATGAATGATTTCAAAAATACAAATCTTCTTTGTCTCTTTCGAGTTAGCATTGCTTGATTGCTCTGTTTTGTTTTGAGACTGATTCAGTTGCTCATACTCTCCCTTATGACTTGTTTCTCAGGGTTAAGCAAAAAGCTGAATCCCGTTCGCTTTTGAGAGCGTTTCAGTAGCTTGTTGAGGAGGAAACTTAGTGTAGTAGGATGGATCAAATGGTTTCAGGAGAACAAGTTCTTGACGTAGACATCGAAGCTGGTCTAGCTCATGTTACTGAAGAATCCACTTCAGACCATTTGTCTGTAACGATTGCTGATGATGTAAACTATCCATTAATGGGAGACGTGGAGAATCCAACAGAAACAAACAGTCAAAGTTTAGATGTTTCAGAGAGAAAACAAGATGTTGTAAAGTTCAAGAAACCAAGAAAGGCTTCAAAGCCACCGAGACCTCCAAAACGCCCTTCTTTGACTGCGAGTGACCATAAGGTGATGAGGGAAATCGCAGAGCTCGCTATGAGAAAGCGTGCAAGGATTGAAAGGATGAAAAATTCGTTAAGAAGACTCAAAGCAGCCAAGTCATCATCTTCATCATCATCGTTTTCATGCATTAGCATCTTCTCCATGATAGTAACGGTTCTGTTTCTCGGTATTCTTGTCTTCCAAGGTACCTATCTTTTTTTAGTTGCCAGCAAATCTCTTATATAAACAGAGTTTACTCAATTGTTAGTCTTTTTTTTTCCCCATGTTGCAGGCTTCTTTGATGGCAATTCGAATTTGAGATCAGACATCTCACCAGCACCAATTGTTTCACCTAACAACAACCAATTGGTTTCAGTTCAGTTATACAATGATCCTAGCCCTACCACCTCGTACAGGTGAGGAGCTTGAAGAAAGCCTTTTTTTGTTTCTTCTACACCAAGTACTAATATGAATTTATTTTTCTAACGTATCTCGATTAATCTGTGTAGTTTCAGATACACGAGGAAGCGAATTTCGGGTGGAGAAGGCTCAAGAGATGTTACCAGATGATGAGTTGATATGTGTTTGGTCTTTGATATCAACTTAACCTGTTAACTCGTTTTTTTTTTGGTTCAAATCATCATTATCTGTTTTGTTCTCTGTTTGTAAACGACTGCGTTTTAAATAATGATGATTTGAAATTGAACCATGGCTAGCCAACCCTGTATTTTAAATTATTTTGGGATATATTAGTGTACCAAACGCCCAAAATCTATATTATAATAGTACACTTTCTAGGCTCCACAACGCGCCACGTCAGCAATTTTGTGGGTCCCATAAGTATTTTTTAAAAACTTATGGTCTTGGTAAGATGATTACAAACAATGAAATACACTTTAGCCAAGTGGTATAAGGTGTCTAATTAAGCATGCAAGATCGTGGGTTCAAACCACGCAGGTTTTTATGTT